TTACAATGAATATATTACTGGTAGGACTTCCAGAAGATCACATGATCTTATCATGAAGCCCTTTACAATCTATATAACGAATTAAAAGGTAGAAAATTTACAAATATTAAAAATTACATAAGCGTTAGAATATTCTTCAAATGTTAAGCAAGTTTTAACATAATATTTTATAATATGGATATATAACATTCTCAATATTGAACAATATTATAATATAAAGTATTCAGCATATATTGTTTAAATAATATTCATCACACAGTCGACAAAAATATCAAATAACTTAAAATACTAAAAATAAATAAATATATTTTGTGTTGAAAAGATTATTTCTTTTGTTTTCTTTTTAAAGGAGGAATAAGACCATTTCAAAGAAAAATCAAAGTTAGGTAAAACTATTTTATTCCAAAGAAATGGACCGCGATAAGAAATACAAAACTGGTCAATTTTTGTTTTGCTAAACGGCTCTTGAATATTTTTACTATCACGAAGTTCATATTTGTTTTTTGGTTTCAAATTATAGAGATTTATAAATACACTTGGAGATAAATTTTCTTTACATTTAAACATAAAACATAAAATATTAAAAATATTTAGTTCGTATATATTTAAAGCTTTCATTTCTATAAGAAGTGGTGTTGAGCTTGAAAAACGATTTCCAAAATTAATTATGTGAGCTGCGTGTTTCTGATGCCGATAGAGAGATTTAAGTTTGGTTTTGTGAGCGCTTCCCCATATAATATTGGCATAGTTTATATGGCAATGAATAAATGAATAATATAGTTGAGTTAGTTGCTTTTTATTTAGTATATATCGAGCTTTTTATAGAACTCCAATGTTTTTAGCAACTTTCATTGAAATACTATCAATTTGCTGACTCCAAGATAAGTTTTCATCTATTATGACTCCTAAAAATTTTGTAAATTTTTCTCTTTTTATGATTGTATTGTCAATGAATAGGTCAGGTAAAATGTTTTGGATTCTCTTTTTTTTAGAGGTTGGGTGAAAAAGTATAAACTTTGTTTTATCCGTATTCAAGGACAATTTATTTTTTCTAAACCAATATGATATTCTTTTTAATTCATTATTCATATTATTAAAAAGTATTTCTATGTTTTCGTGCGACTGAAATAAATTTGTATCATCTGCAAAATTTACGGTCGTTACCCAGCCAGCATTGTGGTACGGGTACCATGCGGGACCCGTATGGGTCATCAACTGGGCCCCATATGGGTAGCCCTCCGGGGTCCCGCTGGTTTTTGGCCGCGGTTTCCATCCGGGGCCCATATTGGTTTGCCCGCCGGGAAACCCGTGTGGGTCCCATTAAGATCCCGCATTTTTAAACCATAAGGGTCCCGTATAGATTTACAACTGGGACCCATATGGGAAAGCCCTCCGGGATCTCGCCGGATTTTGGCCGCGGTTTCTATACGGGGCCCATATGGGTTTAATAAATATAAGAGAATTCATATTATATGCTTATTTATTTCAAACAAAAAGCACATTAAAATTACATTTTTATTCTTTAATCGTGAATCGTATCGTAATCATGAATTAAAATCTTTGTGAAAACCACTTCTTTAAGCACTTTTTTCTTCATACAATATCTTTTTCAATAAGACCTGTGAAAAAATAAAAATTAAACTGCTTTGAGTTGAATTTTACAAGCAACCCATCGTTTATATTTTAAATCAACATCTTCTTTTAAATTGCATATTTTAAAATTTTTTTCAGATTTAAAAAAAAAAGTATTTTCTCACAATATTAAAATTGTGTTTAATAATTAAAGGGAGTATACTCACTAACCATTAAGTCAAAAAATTCTATACAAGAGTCATTCATTAATTCTAATAAACAAGACTACTTATCATTATTATTACTATTATATTTACTAACCTGCCATTAAAGGAGTTTATTTAATTGGAGTCATTAACTAAAATTGGAGACGTTCTGTAGTCAACTCACACCACTAGACAAATATTGCCAACAGCCAATGTGAACCTATTGCAAATAATCAGAAATATTCTTAAATAAAAAATGCAAAATACCTTAATAACATAAGAAAATGATAACTGACATTTTCTAAAGAAAATTAAAAAAATGACACAAAATAAAAATGGAGTTAAACTTGTTATACTAATTATTATAACTTAATTAAAATAAATTAGGATAAATTAGGATGTATAACTAAGATAAATAAATAATATAAATATAATAACTAATGTAAATAAATAAAAAGCGCAGATATGTAATAAATTGAGATTTCTTAGACTTTTTCTTTAGTTACTTATAAATAAATTAGCATAGCGTATATATATATATTTTTAAATTTATTTGTTTACATATATAATTAGATATACAACATATGTTAAAAAAAAGATTAAAAAATAATCACTTGACTTTCTAGAAAATTTTATTATAATATAAATGCATAATATAATATAAAGAGGTTATAAGTTTTAGAAAATAAAAAGTATTTATAATTCACAAATGTAGTTGACGCATAACAATAAAGCCACTTTTGTATGGTATTTGTAAATACTTAATATTGATGTCTGATAGTGGGTAAATTTTATTAATACCAGTCATTTTGCTTGCATAAAATATCGACAAATTATTGGAAGAAAGTGGATCTGTGAAAAATGATTCAAGAGCTGCAAATTCTTCAAACATAACCAATCCATCACAAGATTCGCCTGTTTTTATTTGTATAATATTTCTAACTAAACCAATTTTTTTTGCAACTTCAAAGCAGTTATTTCCATCAGTAGCAGAAACAAAACACTTAAAACCTTGGTAATTTTTAAACTGCAAACAATGTCTCAATGCAATGGTTATTGGTCCATCAACATGCTGGATGCTAAATTTCAGCTGATGAATATGATGTCTATCTTCCTTCAAACAGCCCTCGAAAATTCTCCTAACAATTTGTGAACATGGTTGTTGTGGCCTATGAACAAGCTTTTTTAATTGACCCAGATAATTTTCATATTTGAATGAGGAGCACTTATCCAAAACTCCAAAGTTAACTGCATCATCTGCTAGATGTATCAAAGAATGGACATTATAAACTAACTGATCTTTACCATAAAGTTTACCAAACGACTGCACAAAATAAGTAAGTAACTGACGAGCTAAACCAATATAGTTTTTCAACAAAATAGGACATAATAAAATACGAATTGCAACTGAAAGATCTAAAAAGTTTGAATAAAATTTTGGCTCAAGTAATCCCTTTAAAACAACTGGTCCAGTATATATTAGAAAAAGTCTAAGTTCAGTGGCTTTCCAATGCCGAAAATCTGATAAAGACCTTGGTTTCCTAGAAAATTCCTTTGGAATATAACAACGTATCTGGAAAAATCTATCAGATAAAATATTTACAGTATTTTGCGACAACTTACATGATCTGGGACCATTTAACCATAAGTTGATGATTCTTCGCACAACCCCTAGACATACTAGGTGCATGTAATCTAAAGGAAATTTTGATACCATGTCAAAACCCAACTCAATTAAAGGAGACACACCAATATGATGTTCCAAACTATTTTGATAACGAAAATCTGAATCAGTCCTTAAAGTTGCTGATGTATGCGGAAGGATTATTTTGCCACACCACTCTCCTTTTTGAACACAACGCTCACAACAATTATAACCATTGTGACCCTTTATACATTTCACAAATGCTCTTGCTGGTGCATCACATATAATTGCAGCAAGCTTTACATCATACTTTACATTTTCATGGGTAAAACCATTTTCAGTAAGAGCTTTAATCTCAACCAAAAAATCTTCTAGATATTCATGAATAGAATTTGGTTTTTTGTCACCACAATAAATTGCTATTGGAAATACTATTGCTCCAGCTTCAATAAGAGTACCTAAAATTGGCCAAAGAGAAGTACTGGAACTGGTGAATATAGGTATACCATCAATGTTAATGTGAATGGTAAGTTGGTTGTTGTTTGATTCTATTGAATTGTTTTTAAACATTATTAAAAGCCAATACTGCATGCTGAAATAGTAATACTCTCCGCCCGCGACAATTTTTGTATCTTTATTTTGGGGGGTGTGAAGAAGTGTTCTTGAATCTTTAGGCAAACTTAACCCATATTCTCTTAATAAAGGTAACAAACTGTTCAAAGCAGCATGTGTTATATTGAAGCTTAATGCCCAATTAGCAAGTTTATGAGGCAATTTTTCGCTGTCATTACTTTCATCACTCTTATAATCATCAGAAATAAATGACTCAGGAGACCATTCATTACTATCATCTGTAAGTAATTCAATAGTGTTTTTGTTATTTTCTATTTCGCTAATTTCAGTCTCCATAACAGCTAAACTATTATCAGAATAATTAGAATTAGTTAAAAATTCGTTAGGTTCCAAATTACTGTCAACTTGTTCTCTTATTCCATGTAAATATGAAGAATCAAAAAACATATTGCTACTATATGGATAAACATCCTGATTCTGTATATTTAAAGTTGAAGATTCTTGAAAAAGTTTTGATACCACTTCAGCTATTTTTCTACGTTTAGATCTTTCAGAAGTCATTCTAGTAAATTAAAATAAACTATAAACAAACTTCTAACAAATATCAACTATAACTTATTATAACAAATTTAACAGCAATATATATATATATATATATATATATATATATATATATATATATATATATATATATATATATATATATATATATATATATATATATATATATATATATATATATATATATATATATATATAAGTATACATATATATATATAAGTATATATATAATTGAGTGAGTCCCTAATATCATTGAAAAAAAAATTTCAACCTGGAACTTATAAATAAGCAAAATTAAATAAAAATTTCAAAAAAATAATTTCTTATTTGAAAAAATATTTAAAGAATTATTATCAAAAAACTTTTTATAACTTTTTTGAAAACCATAGGTTTTATATGTATGTATATATGATAAAAAAAATTCAGAAACTTAAAAACAACACTGAAAAAAGAAACTCTTTTTTTATACAATAACTAAAATATTTAATAAAAAAACTACTATAAAATATAACATATTCGTTTAAGATAGGATTAAGAATTATTTAAAAACTTTCTTCCAAATGATTAACGACATCTAAGCGCCGTCTTCGACCTATACCTCTGTCACGAGCATTACCAAACCATTTTGAAAGAGCCTCCTCAAGCTGTTTTTTTGTACACTCTTTTGTAGATGTATTCATTTTTATGGAAGCTGTTGTAAAAAAATATTTTCAAATTTTTATTTGAATTAAAATAAAATATGTAAATTCAAATGTAAAATAAAATATGTTAATTCAAAAATACTAAATTCTAGCATACTATAAAGAATGTTGTACAAAATGGTTTTAATAAATCCACGCTTATTTTTTTGGCCGGTCAAATTTAGCTGTCTGGCCAATACATTTCCAATAAGATAAGTCATATTTCGATTAACAAATTCTGAAATATCTTGCCCACCATTTTCAAAAAGAATATGAACCTATAATAAGATTGAATATTGCAAAATTAAACTAAATGAAAATTTATTATTACTAAATAATAAAGTACATAATTTTGATAAAGTATATGAAAATTTATACAAAATAGGTCTGATTAAACAATTACCAAAATTCCTTTGAGTAGTAACATTAGCTAATATTTCAAGAGCCTTATCCAGTAGTTCCATTGTTGTTACAGGAAATGTTAAACCTTCTGGTAGCTCCACTGATGCTATGTCTCTTTCTATGTTAAACCGTTGCAATAAATTCTGAATCATCTTAGAGTGAAATTTTTGTGTTTCTTTAATTTGTTCTAACCCTCTCAAAATAGTTTTGCATACTCCTATAAATGCTTACTGCTAAAGAATCTAATTGCTAATCAACATTAAATCATAACATATAAACACCTTTTTTTTTAGGGTCTTCTATTTCTATAACATATATAAGTATAATATTACCACTGCGAACAATGGATACGTACCTGAATTTTCTGCTGCAGCAAAAGGTACTATTGTTGAAGAATTAGGCATTCTTTGATAAGTTTCAGACAAATTGAATGAAAAATCTGCAATATATGTATGAATGGTATATATATATATATATATATATATATATATATATATATATATATATATATATATATATATATATATATATATATATATATATATATATATATGTGTGTGTGTGTGTGTGTGTACCCATTAATTATTGTCTCTATAAAGATATATTTAATAAATATAATACACATTGACTATAAATATAATACACATTGACTAACTTATAAAATATTAAATATAATAATAAAAAAAAATAATAAAAATAAAATTTAAAAAATACCATTTTATAGCAAAATATTTAATTTAAATATTACAAATAAAAATAGAATGGAAATAAAAATATTAAAAAATAAATTAAAAAATGATCATATTTAAATTTAAATGTTACAAGACTGAAATTTAAAATTATACAATTATTAACGACATTGCGCACTTAGCATAGCTTAGTGCATTGCTCATAAGATATAATATATATATATATATATATATATATATATATATATATATATATATATATATATATATATATATATATATATATATATATATATATATATGTATACCTGTTAAAGATGAATTTTTATTGAAATCAACATTATCTGAAGTGTTAGAACATCGAGGAACTATAAAAAACAGTTAAAAATGTTGCTATTCCTAAGATACTACCTTACTACTGCAACAAGAAAATAAGAACTGAAATATATACTTAAAGGAACATCTGGCTTGATAAAAGCTTGTTCTGGGGATTTATTAAGGTCTTCAAAACTTTTATTGACCTTCATATGTCTAAAAATGTTAAATTTATTAATGATATACAAAAGATTATAATTATCGCTCTAAAGCATTATTATGTAGACTAGATAGACTTAGAATCTGTTAAAAGTTTTGTTTTTTTAGTAAAAATTTTAATTTTTTAACCCTTTTGTTGACTCTGTTTTCTTTTTCTTTATTGATTTACTAAGTTCTTCTTTTAAAAAAATAGATTCAATTTCCTTTTCTAAAAAGCAAAAATGCTTACGCTTTTATGCTACACATATTTTATTTAAAACAAGTCCTGTATATCTATATATAAACAAACTTTATTTTAAGTAATATTTTACTAACTTTTTTCAAATAACTTTACTTGAGAATCTTCTTCACAAGACTGGCTAATTATAGAATACAAGCATTATTATTTTTAATTGTATTAAGATTATTTTATTATAATCATATAAGGTTACAAAAGAATGTAAATATCTTCCATCTATCGAAATGAAATTGTTGAACTTTATAGACCTTTTTCGATTTTTTAGATATAGTTCATCAACATTTGATGTATCTTCCGCATATTTACATTTTTCTTTTGCTTCAGATTCTGTGTCTAAATTTTTTAAACAACAATGAAGTCATTGCTATATAAATTTTTGTCAAATTCAAATTTTATTATTTTACTTATTAAAATATACATTATAAATTTGCTTTCTGTAAAATAATTAAAATTTATTAAAACACATAAAATTTAAATAAATTATTTAAATTTTTTTTTCTTTTCATAAAACTTATAAAAAACAAAAAAATAGTTAATTTACTATCATTTAAATAACATATAAACTAACCAGCAGTGGACAAAATTCTTCCAGAAAATCGCAGCCAACCAACTTCTGGTTCTTGACAGATTGATTTTGCTGCGTCAATTTTTTTCATATTTGTCCAGCGTGGCCAATAAAAATCTGTTGATTTCCTTGAAGATATTATAGACAGAACATTTTCGCTCATCGCATTAACAAGCCAAATTAGAGGTAGATAGTCAGTGTTATTTTCCTCATCAAAGGCAACAATTGCATACATCATTTTACTGTAAGTTAAAATGCTAATGTATACACTTGCTTTTAAATTAAAATATACAATATATATATATATATATATATATATATATATATATATATATATATATATATATATATATATATATATATATATATATATATATATATACATATATATATATATATATATATATATTGATATATATATATATATATATATATATATATATATATATATTGATATATATATATATATATATATATATATATATATATATATATATATCATAAATAAAATACTCTTAAAAATATTTTATATATAATTTAACACACACGCACATATACAATGTAGTACATAATATGTATATATATATAAATATATATATATATATATATATAATATATTACATATATAATATGTATTTATTTATATAAATATATATATATAATATATATATATTTATATATATATATATATATATATATATATATATATATATATATATATATATACATATATATATTGTATATATATATATATATATATATATATATATATATATATATATATTGATATATATATATATATATATATATATATATATATATATATATATATATATATATTAGGTACGTGGACTGATTTTTTTAAATTTATCAAATACTAGAATGTTATATATCATTTGAAAGCCCTCAAATACAGTATTTTAAAGGTGAAAAAATTATGAAAATCGGACAATTCTATCAAAAGTTATGACGTTTTAAGTAGCAAATTTTCGATTTATGGATTTCTTGATAAAACTGTGGTCAAAAAATTTTTTTTCACATAAATTGTTATAACTTTGCTAATTCTTATTCAAATATCTATAACTTGGTATCGAAAGATAGGTGTAAAAAAGGGCTATAATTTTCAATTAAATTTTAGGTCAAGGCCGCATCCAGGGATCCGGAGGGGGTGCTAATCCACTACCTACACCTCACAAAAATACACTTTTTTTTATAAAAAAGTGTTTTTCTTTTAAAAATTACAAATATCTATATACAAAAAATTGTTATTATTTTATTCCACATCACTAGTGAATATTACAAGTCTATCTCAAAGTCGGGTGTTGGGTTTTGAATAAGGTTTAACACACCCTATCAAAATTTCATTCTTTTAAATATTTCAACCTTTACTAAAACAATTAATTTTAGTATAAAAAATAAAAAAAATATTTCGATACTTGGAAAAATAGTAACTAGTGGTGTATAAATTGACTTCATGGAAGGGGGTGTAAGCCGCCCCCCTTCCGCCCAATACCTAAAAAAAAAGTTTTAATTAGAATTTAACAAAAAAAGTTTATAAATGCTTTTTAAACACATAAAATAGTATAAAAAACTGTTTTACCATGTTACAGTGGTGTATAAATTGCCTTCATAAAAGGAGGTGCAAGCCGCCCCCCTTCCGCCCAATACTTAAAAAAAAGTTTTTATTAGAATTTAACAAAAAAAGTTTAAAAATGCTTTTTAACCTCATATAAAATAGTATAAAAAACTGTTTTACCATGTTGCAAAACTGCAAATAGATACAGCAAGTTTTGTGGCTTGCAAACAAGTACAACAAGTTTTGTGGCTTGCCATTAGGTAAAGCAAGTTTGTTGTTGAACTCCAACCTAAAAAAAAACACAAAGCAGCAAGTCTTTTGAAATAAAAAAAAGTAATTAACTATTGTCTTGGCTTTTAGTAAATGATTTATGTTTTGAATTCCATTTTTGAACTGAATAAATCATTTTTAATGATAGACACCATGTGAAGGTAAGCCAGAGCCATCTATCAAAAAAAATTTGCAAGCCACAAAACTTGCTGTACCTATTTCCAAGACACAAAACTTGCGGTACTTGTTTGCAAGCCACAAAACTTGCTGTACTTATTTGCAATCCACAAAACTTGCTGTACCCATTTGCAAGCCACAAAACTTGCTGTACCTATTTGCAAGCCACAAAACTTGCTGTACCTAATTGCAAGCCACGAAACTTGCTTTACCTAATGGCAAGCCACAAAACTTGTTGTACTTGTTTGCAAACCACAAAACTTGCTGTATCTATTTGCAATCCACAAACCTTGAAGTACTTGTTTGCAAGCCACAAAACTTGCAGAACTTTTTTTTCAAGCATTTTTACATTATTTCATATTCAAACTAAGAAAATATTATCTCATCTAATACAACATCAGCAGCTAGCTGGATTTTTTTCATCTTATGCTCAACAGCTTCAATATCAGTTTTATCTTGTTTTCAGTAAGAAATAGTGTAAATTCTATCATTTTGTCTCTTGCTTACTTTTTCTAGTCTACCATCATAAATGATAGACTTTGATGAGTCAGTATCATACCATTCATGACAGAGTTTTCTGCCAGCAATTCTTTCAGACATCACATCATCTAAATCTTCAAGTTGTTTTGCAGATAAGTGTTTGTATAAATTCATCTTTTCAATGATAGTTAAGATTTCAAAGCATTATGAAGCATTTTATATAAACCCTTACAAAAAAAAAAAAAAATTAAAAACTTTTATTAAGAATTGGCTTATTTAATATAAAATACTTTTATAAAATATAAATAAGCATTAAAGTTTTTCAAAAACGAAGAACAATCATAAAAAAATATTTCAATTTATACATTAACCTGCAGAAGATTGTGCTGCAGGAACTTAAAGTTAAAAAATGATGTAAACAACAAAAATAAAATGAAATTGGGATTAAATTTATAGTATAATTTTAATGAGATAGACTATGCACTGCTAACAAAGAAATAGTTTTTTAACATACCAACCAAAGCAGATGTAGATGCAGCTAAAAATCAAAAAAAAATGTAATTAACAAAATAAATGACTTTTTTAGAAAAATCAAAACACTACTGAAAAATATTTAGTTTTTAAACTTACTATTTGTGAAAAGGATGTACTTAACCAAAAAAATATTTGATTTAGGCATTAAATTATTACAGAGATTAAAAAATAATAGCTTTTAAACTTAGTAACTGTGGCAGATATAAATTAAAAAAAGGTGTAACCAAGTAAAAAAGTATTAGAAATTGGCCTTACATACACATATTACATACAAAGTGAACAAAGAAATAGCTTTTAAACTTTCTAAATGTGGTAGATGTTGATGAAACTAAAAGTAAAAAAAAAGCTGTAATCAAAAAGAAAATTGAGTTTGATATTAAATCTATAGTATAGCCATAACAAAAGAAATGATATCGACATCCACAGCAGGTGTCGATAAAGCTTAATGTAAAAAAGGTGTAATTAATAGCAAAAAAGAAGGATGTAGATGCAACTAATATCACGAAAAGATGCAATATAAAAATTAACAAAAAAAGTTGAAAATGGGATTAAATCAATACACTACTGAAAAAGAATTGACTCTTAAACTTACCAACTGTTTCAGATGTAGATGGAACTAAAACTAAAACTAAAAACAAAATGGATGTTATCTACAAAAAAAAAAAAGATATTGGCAATAAATCTTTCACAAGTTAAAAAATAATAGCTTTTAAATTTACTAATCACAGTTGTTTAAGAAATGACTTGAGATAAAAAACATATGAATTAAACCAAAGCATACATTAAATTTCTACTTATATAAACATGACCGAAATTGCAATATACAAACTTACCAGTGGAAGGCTGAGTTGATTGGACTAAAATTAACAAGAAAACTGTATATCAAAATAAAAAAAACACCTTAAATTTGACAACAGTAAGTGAATAAGTGACAACAATCAAACAAGTTCTGGATAATGTGCAACAACTTTATTGATAAAGTATATAATGAAAACATAATTACACAAGTAAACATTAAGAAAGGTTGTATAATGATTAAAATAATAAAAGAAAGATTATAAAAAAGATATCTTTTGTATTAAAAAACTTTTAAGGCATCAAAATGTTTATTTTATTATGAATAACATTAAAGATTATATTGTTCATGTCATCCCTATATGTCACTATTATCTATCATATCTATACATCTATACATCACTATCATATCGATACATCTATACATCACTATCATATCTATACACCTATACATCACTATCATTCCTATACACCTATTTATCACTATCATATCATATCTATACACTATACACTACTTTCATATCACTATACATCACTATCATATATCACTTACGGAATCTCAAAAACTGATGAAATAGTAAGCCTGCATCTAAACAAGAAAGAAACATTAGAAATGTTTGTGTAATGATTTAAACAATAATTATAAGACTAAGTATTATACAATAGATAAATCATAAAAGATTAACATACCAAATGTTCTCAATGTAGATAAAACATAAGGTAAAAAAAATGTAAAGAACAAAACATACATAGTTTTTGCCAACAAATCTATACATAGTTGTTTTTTAAAAAAAGTTTTCAAACTTACCAACCATAGCAGATGGTGACAAAGCTAAAGGTAAAAAAATTAACCAAAATAACTTTGATTTCGACATTAACTCTATACAGATCTGAAAAAATTTGCCACTGGCAGATGTTGATAAAACTAAAAGAAAAATAAAGTGTCATCAAATAAAATAAAAAAAGGTATTAAACTTATAGTATAGCTTTAAAGAATAAGTAGAAACACCTAATAAAAAAATACTTATTTAACTTACCAACTGCATCAGATGACGATGAAGCTAAAGTTAAAAAAGGTGTAATATATAAAAAAAAAAATACACATTTTTGGCAACATTAATAACAAATAAAATAAAGGTGTAAATAACGAAAATTAGGGGTTACTTAAAAAAAAGCATTGAGTAGGTTTTATCTAGTCAATGATTTGACTAGATAAAACCTACTATAAAAACTTGTAAAAGTAATAAACAATAGTATTATTATGAAAAAACATATGAAATTACTATCTGTTTGATTACCCAGTTCATTTATATTATTCATTTTTTTAATTACTAACAATCTAAGTGAAACAATATGCAATAAACATTTTTAAAGAAAAAAAAAAACTCTCTCCCCCTCAGCCCCACCTCGGCTATTTTTGAAAACAGAAATTAGGTACCAAAAGTGTTTAACTGAATTAACTAATTGCTACATAATATTTTTTCATGAAATTTGGCAGGTGCAAAAGAAATGCATGTAGAAACTTTTTTAAAAAATCAAAAAAGCGGAATATAGATTCCTTCAACAATAATTGAACAAGTAAACATCAACATAATTTTCATGAGCAAAATAGTCAAAAAAAAGGTATGACAATCATGTAAAAAAATAACACAAAAAACAAGCCTAACTCTTCTTCTTTCTGAAAATATACTATGTGTATATACGTTTCTGTAAAAAAAACCAACAAAAAATCGTTTGCCTAACCCTACTCAAAATAATGAGACGGAAAATCCGCTAAAAAAAAATCGGAAAAACAGAAATTAGGTACTAAAAGTGCTAAACTGATTTAACTATCTGCTACACAATATTTTTCAATAAAATTTGGTATGTGCAAAGAAAATGCATGTAAAAACTTATTTTGAGAATCAAAAAAGCGGAATAAAGAGTCCTTCGACAAGAATTTGACATGTAAACACCAACCTATTTTTCATGAGCCAAATGCTCCAAAAAATGGTAAGACAACCGTACGTAAAAATAACATAAAAAACAAGCTTAACTCTTCTTCTTTCCAAAAATATACTATGTTTATATATGTGTCCGAAAAGAAACTTCTCAAAAATACGTTTGCCTTAGGCCACCTAAAAAAAACGTCAAAAAAACGAGTCACAGAATTTTAGCACAAAATTCGGCTCCGTAAATCGCTATTTCCGCGTACCTATATATATATATATATATATATATATATATATATATATATATATATATATATATATATATATATATATATATATATATATATATATATATATATATATATATATATATATATATATATATATAATATATATATATATATATATATATATATATATATATATATATCAAAGTAAATCTATATAATTTATATAGAATATATTTTTATTATAAATAAACAAAGTAAATCTATACTTTGCAAAGTCATTGTTTTTGAAAAAGACAATGAACACAATAACTTACGAAGTTTTACGTTTTCCTTTGCCACAATATTTAAATTTTTGACCACCATGTATGCAACAGTATTTGATAAAATAGTATTTAATATCAGCTGCCATAAAAGCAGCTTTTATAGGAATGGATTTCCTAGCAGCCTCAATAGTTCTGGCATCTCTTACCCACAACTTTAGGCGCTACTTGACTTTCTCCCCCCCCCCTGTTTTTATGATTGATTTTTATAGAGTATATTATACTGATTCTAAATCATATAAAAACATAGGTCTGAAAACTTGAGGAAAGTACTCTAAACTGATGTTAAAGTATAAAAATCCACATTAAAAAACGCTAATATTAGCCATCTTTGTCATACTCGGTTATAATAAAATTCTTTTTCAATAAAAACTTTGAAAAACCCTGGTTTCTATCGACGCTTCAATTTAAAACGCATTTTTTATTGATTTCCTGCCCCAACCAAACCCTGAACAAAATCATGTACATTTAATTGCGCCAATTCCTATTTGTCAGTAGATATGTACATTTATTTACGCTAATTCCTATTTGTCAGTCGATGTATGTATATTTAATCGCGCCAATTCCTATTTGTCAGTCGATGCATGTACATACATTTTTATTTTTTTGGCTACCGACTTTCGGTAGGCTATCCACGGCGTATATATAAATGTATATATAAATATATATAATATATATATATATAATATATATATATATATATATATATATATATATATATATATATATATATATATATATATATATATATATATATATATATATATAATATATATATATATATATATATATATATATATATATATATATATACAACATTATAAATACATTCACGTATACATACAAATGTAAACATACTTTGTTTGACGAGTAGCTGTGCGAAAAGTTATCTTTTAATTTGCATTGAAAAAAAATATATTTATACGGGTTGTAATTTTGTAATGTTGCCAAGAATTTATGCCACAAGTTCCTTGTTTACTTCTTTGTCAAGGAAGTAAAACAGTAAAAATGAAGATGTCAACATTATAATATTGTGACATGAAAATTATTCGTGAAACTAATTTTTGTAAAGGTGAACGATATTTAATTCAATTCTTTAAAATAACTAACTTTATGCATAGTAAAATTTAGTTCGTTTTTTAAAGAAATAAAAACTTCTTTTATATAAACTTAAACGCTAACATAATCCAGTTTTAATGTAGAAACAAAATCCAACGAAAAAACCGATTTCTCTTTAATTATAATGTAAAAATAATGTATACAAGTTCCATTTTATGAACTTCTTTGAAACTCAATTAATTTTGTTATTGTAAATGGCGAAATTTAAGATTCGGTTTTATAAAATATCTTCTTGTAACAGAACCAATTGGGCCCCAAATGGGAAACCCATCACATTCCCATATTCCGTAACCCAGATATGATTTCTACGAGAGTTTTAGCGTGATTTTTTAGCCATACGGGACCCATCAGGAAACCAGTACTCGCGCCCATTTAGATCCCGTATCCCGTAAACCCGGATATAAACCGTACGGGGCCCGTTTGCTATTGCTGGCTGGGTAGGGTAGAAGCTTTGTAAAGATCATTTATGTATAATAGAAATAATAGTGGTCCAAGTATGGACCCTTGGGGGACACCGCACGTTATATTTTTTATTATTTGCGATGAAGATTCTTTGTTATAAACAAATTGTTTGCGGTTACTTAGATAGCTTTTGAACCAATTTAGGGTTTTATCTTTTATACCATAGCTCTCTAGCTTTTTTATTAAAATATGATGATTAAAAGTATCAAAAGCTTTTGACAAGTCAATGAATATGCCTAGTGTGAATTGAGAATTCTTAAATGAATCGGCAATATTGCGTGTTACTTGGAGAATAGCGTGTTCAGTAGAACTGTTTCTCTGAAAACCAAATTGATTTTTATAAAGGAGTTTATTATCAATAAGATAAGTGTAAATTCTATTATACATTATTCTTTCTAATATTTTTGAAAAGACCGGTAAAACTGAGATAGGACGATAGTTTGTTATGTTGGTATGGTCCCCTGTTTTAAAGATTGGAGTTACTTTGGCTATTTTCAAACTATTTGGAAACGATCCTTGAGTAATAGATGCTTAGAAGACTTTGAAGAGGATATTTTTAATCTCATTAAAAGAGTCGATTACAATATTTCCATTTATATCATCAGGCTCTATTGCTTTATTCCTTTTTAATGATTTAAATGCAATTTCGAATACATTATAAGTTAGATTTGAAAAATTTATAGTTGAATTTGGTGATGATATAAATTCATCAACAGAGTCGTTGTCTACATAAGGAATCTTGTTTGATAGGTTATGTCCTATTGACGAAAAAAAGTTATTGAATTCGGCTGCGATTTCATTTGAATCGGTAATTATCTTATTTTCAAACTTTATAGCATTCGGCATCGTATTTGTGTTTGTCTTATGTTTGCTAGTAATTTCATTCATTATTTGCCACACCCGCCTTGAATTATGCTTGTGTTTTATAAGCAAGTCAGAGTAGTAAATTTGTTTGGCTTTTTTTCGGAGTTTTTCAAATAGATTTTTGTAAACTGTGTAGTTATTTTTATGTTTGTCGGATTTATTTTTAAGATATTTAATATAGAGTTTTTGTTTTATTTTTGATGATTTTTTTATTCCTTTAGTTATTCAAGGACAAGATATGTCTTTGGCGTTAAGAACTATTTCTCGAATAGGAAAATTTGCTTCATATATTTTGTAAAATATATTAAAAAAAGATTTGTAGATGATATTTATATCCTCATTAAAGTTTATATAGCTCCAGTCTTGGTGTAAAAGTTGCTCTTTAAATAAATTTAAGTTATTGTTGCTATAAATTCGTTTTTTTAGTGTTATTTTATCATTCGTATTTGTTTTGTGGTCAGCGCCTAAGCAGAAAAAAATTGGAAAGTGATCCGAAACATCAGTTTTTATAATACCTTTTTTGAGTGTAATATTGAAATAGTGTTGGTAAGAACGTTGTCAATTAAGGAGGATGAAGACTTTGTTATTCTAGTAGGTTTATTTATAATGGGTATTGTTCCCGTTTCAAATAAATGATTATAAAACTTTGTTATATATTGTATTATAAATTTATAATATTGTGTTATATATTGTATTATAAATTTGTAGCATATATATACAGTAGAGTGTCTCAGAAAAATTTTTTGAATTTAATATTGTGCTTTATGTCAATCCTCCTTATTTGGTCCCAGTTGACCATCATAAATATATCTGGGCTCAAAGTCATTGTTATGCTGAAGAAGGTGTTTTAAAAAAAAGTTTCATATACATTTTAATGAGTTTTTTTGGATCTTCTGATTAAAACTGTGCAAATATATTTAGAAATACAAAAAATAAATTTTTAATAAATTATCAGTTATAAGGATGTTGAAAAACAGACGCAGTATATACTGTATACTGTTCTAATTTGAGTAACTTTCGACAATTTTTACATATATATGTAAAATATATATAAAAAAATTGTATATTTTGTGATCAATTCAGTTGTACTTTATAATAAAGATAATAAAACATTAAATATATGTAAAATATATATAAAAACATTGTATATTTTGTGATCAATTCAGTTGTATTTTATAATAAAGATAATAAAACATTAAATATATGTAAAATTTATATAAAAACATTGTATATTTTGTGATCAATTCAGTTGTATTTTATATATATTATATATATATATATATATATATATATATATATATATATATATATATATATATATATATATATATATATATATATATATATATATATATATTTTATTTATAATAAAACATTAAATATGACTAGTGCAGAGCATGTTGGAAAAGTTAGTGGAAGAAAAATTCTTTATCTATTGGGGGTACCCTCTCCAGATATTTTATCTAAATAGACTTTTATTTAGATAAAATATCTGGAGAACTTTTTAATTTAGGAATAGAATCATTGCTCTGTATATCCAGTATATTAAAGTTTTAAAGATGAAAAGCCTAGAAATGAGCAAAGAAACCATGAGC